ATAATATAAATAATATATATATAATTATATATATCCGAAATGTAGACTATCTTACTCCATCAATAACAGTATGCACATCATATGTAAGAGCGAGATAGCTAACCGTAACGTAATATTTATAATTCGTCGGAAGTATGTCGTTACTATATTATTAATTTATATGTACCTCACAGAAACATTATATTGAAAATCCATAATTAATTAATTATATTATTAAAAAGATTGAATAACACGGCTTGTAATCCTTTCAAGGGACTGGGTTTTTTAAATTTTTATTTGAAATAATTTTAGTAAATAATAAAAATTATTATTTAGTTCTAAATAAAAGTATTACATAGTAAATAACAACAAACACTATTATAAAATTAACATTAAAAGATTATTTTTGTGTGATAAACCTGAAAACAATCAACTTACACAGAGCCCAATATTACTCTTTATATTGAAATCTAGATCTTTTGTTAGTAATTTTCTTCGCTCCTGTAGTACAAGCAATACATCTTTTTTATTCTTTTGGATGATTTTTATCTTTTTCAATATAAAAACGAAAATGTCTAGCTATCAGAATCCTTAAAGGATCAGATAATCGAAGCTTTAGAGACCAATTACAGATTTTCGCTCTGAATCATGCTTTTCAATGATACTTTTAATTAGTTGTAATTTGAAATTAGAAAGCGATAAATTTAAAAGATTTTTCATTTTAAATAGAACATAATCATTACAAATAACAAGATTAATCAAGTAAAAAGCTATTTTTTTTATCTTTTTACGAATTATATGACGAAAATGAATGATAACATATCAAAATGTAGAATAATAACATTTATGAAAGGTTGTTTACAAATTTCTGTGTATTAAACTTCCTATGTCCTCAATCAAAACATATACATATATATGTATATATCGACAAAACTAAAATATAAGATAAATTTGAATAATTATTATCGCGATTATTATCTTCATCATATCGCATTTATTTGTATTCAATTTGTTGTATTCAATTAACTTACATATCAAAATCTATATAAATCTTTTTATAAATTAAAAAATTAGATTTATTTAAACAAATTATATCCTTATATTTTTTTATTGCAAAAATTTTATTATTATAAATATTTCTTTTACTATTTGATCACTAGAATATTTGAGTAATTTAAGAAATAAATAATATAAGCAAATATGTCATTTAAAATTTGGGATAAAAGGAAAAAGTTATAAATGAATTATGAAGTCATTGTTAAAAACCAAAACAAATATTAGGAATGTAACATGTAATTTTTACATAAATTTTTACATATATTACGTATCATAAAACGATATAAATGATATAAATTTTTGCGAAATAAAGATTGTTAAAAAAAAAATCGAAGAAAAACTTAAAGACAAACACACGTAACGCAAGAAGGTCACAATTGCGTTGGCATTTGTCACATTTGAATATCATGAATGATTAGATAAAATCATATGTAGCAATCAATACATAATATTTCATCAAAATCGTTGACAATTGAATAATACATGACATCATCTGTATAAATATGTCAATGTGGCGCGGAATTTTAATTGTGAAAAAACTCACGTACAGTGCTCTCAGTTTTCGTTTAATGATATTTTATCTAGACGTTTATATTGTAATTGATATTTTACCTAGCAACGCTCGTCCAATGCTATCGCATTCACTGCACGCACTAAACTAGTTGAGGATCAACAATAAGAATATCGCAAGGGTTATCATCATGGGGAGATAATATATCTATTGGCTGACGTATTATTGACGAACATGAAGTCTCACGAGAAAATAAGTTGATCTCCGAGGACTTCTTTCGAAATTCAGTTCTTTGACTTTGCTGAGAGCAAATAATTTTTATTGGATACTTATCCACAAGTTAAATTAATCGATTTATTATAAACGCAAGGAAAATTACATCGATAAGATAATTCGATCAAAAAATTCTATCGTGAATTACACAACCGTTTTATCGTAAGGGGGTCGCGATGCTAGAATGCATAACATTCCAAAATAACATCCACATTGGTAACATAACTGCAGTGGCGACATTGTAGAACCAATTACCATATATCATAGAATCAACAATGCTGAAAACAAGTGCTTGTTTATTGGCGCGATAGCTTCTGAGAAACAGGGATGGAATGGGATCGGTAGGAAAATTAAGATACGTGTAACCCATTACGACAATCGCCGACGAAATAAATGGATGCAGCATGATCCACATGATATATTGGCAGCAGTGGAATCTGTAAAAGCGAAATGTTAATTTCAAACATGCGAATTTCAAACATGAGAATATGAGAATCAATTTCAATCGCGCTCACCTGGACGCAGATTCATGATGCGGTGTTATCAAAAATACAATTGGCACATATACAACGGCCGTCACTAATGCTAAAGAGAAATTGTGCATAGCTATACACATTAATGCGGTAGCTAGCTCGATTAAAGCAATAACGAATACGAGCAATATATTTTCGTATTTGATTGATCTACAAATTATATTCATTAGTAACGCGCAATTAAATCGTGCAATACTTTCTTATTTTACCTCTTCAGATAAAAGCGCCCAAATATCGTGAGAATCGTGATTAAAGCAAAACTGATGTATAATGAATCCTCTGTACGTAGATTCAACATCTGTGATCCGATTAAAGTGAAAATTCGAGGAGAAGCCATTATTAGTACTCCAAATATGTGCGCCCACAACACTTCGGAAGCGATATTTCCAATGTCAAATTTGTCGACCTGTTTAGTAAAATAGAAATATTTGTGGAATCATGATAAAAAATATAAAGTAGAATTTTGCTACCTTATTTGATAAACTTTGTTTATTCTTTTTTGTTTCATTATTTGATGTTTGTAATCTTTGCCAAATAGAAAATGCCTTTATAAATAAACTAGCGATTATTAGTACCAAAGGTCGCATATATAATCCTGCAAAATAATTTTTATTTATTCATTTATCTGAGTTTAAAAAATTAAAATGTATTCAAAAGATATTTATTTCTTTTTCTTACCAATAGAAATGTATCGATCGGTAGAAGGTAATAAATAGAAAAAATACGATTGATGGAAACGCTCTAATAAATTGTTAAGTGATCTCACTATACTTTCTACTATGCGTCCTACTTGATAAAAATTTGTTCCTGTTTCTTTTCCAGATTTTTTGAAACCTTCTAATGTAATGGCTTCAATACCGAACCTAAAGACAAATTTTAGTTAAATGTGAAAAATAATATTACTAAAGATTAAAATCTAAATATACATGTTATATATTACATGTGTTAAATAAAAAATATTTTTTAATTTAATAAGTCTAAAAGTGTCTCTACTGATAACTTAATAAGTCTTTAATGAGTGTTTCTACTGATTTATTTTGTCCAATATTATACATACGCACATACATCTCTTTCTTACTTTATAAATTGTACCTGTGGAAGAGTCCATGATTACCAGTTGGAACACCAGTAGCTTGCGTCGCTACCATGCTCATTAACGTGTTAAAATGATACCACCAACTTTTAAATTTATCCCTGTAATTAACGTCAAATCGACGTTGGAAAGACTGTTGAATGCCTTCTTTAGCTATCATGTTTTGTGCTAAGTTAAAAAGATCTAAATTGGGAAGTTGTCCATTTAGACCTTCTACCTAAAAACAAAAATGATTTTGATGATGGATATAATAATATATATATAGAGTTTTCAAAATTTATGTACCTTAACATCAATTGACGTGATTTTCATTGCATGAAACTCAAGATTAATAGCAGCTTGGATAGATCCAGCTCTGCCAGATAAATCTCCTGCTAGCAAGATTCCTTCCTGGCCACTGGTAGATCCATGATATGCATCTAGCCATGCTTGCATACCCAATTGCTCATGTTCCGTTACAAGAAATATTATATCTTTTGCCCAATATTTTTGTTCTATAAACAAATTATTAATTATTAAAAAATATACTATATCATTTGTTAATCATTGAATAGTAATTTACAGAGAGTAATTTACTTCTGCAAAACTTTGCGAATGCAAGTAATAGAGCTACCGAAGGTGCAGTATCTAAATATATGCTGTTGATAGGTCTATATGGCACACTGACTACAATAGCTTCGGTACTGGATGCTCGTGGAGCTCTGACAATACCATAAACATTTTGTCCTACAAACTGTAAAATTTTGCACACATATATATGTGTAAAAAGTGAAAGATTATCATTTATTTTAAAATTATATTACCTTTTGTTCCTGAAATGGATAAATTAAAGAAAAATTATGTACAAATACATCTAAATGAAGCTGACTGAATTTTGCCGAGAGCCATGCATAAGGCATATTATCTGGATATCTCTTCATCTCGTGACTAAGTTCATAGTAATACTGTTTTGACGTTTGTTCCAAGTTACTTTCTTTCGTGACTAATCCAGGTAATAAAGCATTCTCAGAAAAATAAGTATCTAAAAATTAAATTAATAAATACGAATTAAAATTATGGTATTATGCCTTTAATTCTTAAAAATTTGTATTTATAGAAAACACATACTGTCATTAAACGCCGGTAACGCTAGGAGCATTAGCCATACAACTCCTCCTATATATAATACAAAGCACAATGGTTTCTCCCATTTTAATAATAATTTTATGATTTTGCCGGTTCCAGCTCTAGGATCCGTAAGTAAACCCATCTTTGTTTTACAGACAAATTTAGTTCAAAATTTTAAAGTGCAATCACTCTTCACTTCTTAAAATGTCAATAATCTAACCTAAAATCTCATATACATCAAAGAGAAACCTAAGAGTATTCATTGTTTCTTCGTGCATTCTATTTAGCGTGTGAGCGCTCACAAGCAATATTATCTTTGTTTAACGTTTGATAAAACAAGAATGAAATGATAAGTTTTGCAAATCGTGCGCAAGCGCAATTCGATTATGAATATACCCTAACGTTTATAGCGCATCAACGTCCATTTTTGCGATATAGGAACTAGATACATCTATTTTGTGAAACTGTCGATAAAATCGTAATGTTGAAAATGAATATGATATGTGTCTGTGCTAATAAGATTTTTTTCTTTGCAATTATCATCTTTATTTATAATCAAACTTGGATGATAACATTAATGGTAAACTGAAAAAAATTTAATTTAAATAAAAATTTTTTTATATAAAAACACTTGGTACTGCTAAATCGAATAAAAAAACCTATGAAAATAATTAATTTACACATGTACACAAAAATAAATTTATTCTCTGGTGGAAAAATTTTTCTGAAACTTTGCAAAAATTTTGTTGAAATTGATATTTCAGTAAAAATATTAAAAATTTGCTAAAAATGATTTTTTTCAGCAAAAATTACTGGAATTGAACTGAAATTTCTCCTCAAATTTGTCCGAAAATTTTTGCATAAATTTTATGATATTTCTCTAAAAATATATTAAATATTCTTTAATTCTATTTTGCTGGAAGTATTGCAAAATTGTTATAGATACGTGAAAATTAGTTTTTATGCATTTATTTTTTACATAAATAATTTTAATATATGTATGAGATGACAATATAATATTTTAAATGTTTTTATTAGTACTATACAATTATATTTAACATTAATTATTTTTTTCCATACGTGTTCCATCTTTTTCACAACATCTTTGATCAGGTACGTTACAACTATATTAGCATATGGATCATTGAAGAAGCAGTTTCCAATCGTAGAAGTCAATACGCAGTAGTACGCAATATTAGAACATCATAAACAGTTAATTATCGAATTCGGAGAAAATGTTTTTTTAATCATAATTTTATTGTGTGTTTTCTAAAATATGATACTAATTATTAATCTATATTTTAGCACATAAAAACTAGATTAATTAATTTTCGTTTTTTTAAATTTTAGCGAAATTCGCAGTAGTGGCAATTGAGCAAAAAACAAGACATTAATTGATGGCAATGAAGACGAATAGAAGAAAAACTCTAAACAAAATATTGTAGAAGACTAATTCTAAAATATATAATATCATTTATAAACCGCTCTTTATATTAAAGCAATATGCACGTTAAACATTATTTTGCAGTTGTAATATTCTTGAAAATTTTAAGCCTGATTATTGCAGATTCAGGTAATAAACTAAGAAAATGTAGTTTTTAAAAGGAAAACAGTCAATGTAATAAATTGAAAACAATAAGACAAATATATTTAATATAGGATGTTCAGTGATGTAAAAGAAAATTATATGTGATTATATACATACATAAATAATAGAAATATAAAAATAGAAATACAAAAAAAGTAAAGAATGCAAAAATAAGGTAATAAAATAAAGTATAATGACTTAGATTCTTCTCTCTACTATTTATTGTTTCCAATGCTAACATTGTTCTCTGTATGATCCACAAAACCCGATTATTTTTTATTTATCATAACTCCTACTTAATTTACACTCCAACTTGGATTGAGTAGGAGTTATAGTAGGAACATATTGGAGCATGCAACGAATAAATTACCTTATATCTTCTTTTTCAGTATATAACACGTCGGGAATTGATTTATCTGAGTGCAAGATATCTCAACTAGGAATTGAGTATAAAGGTTTTATTAACATAACTGTTAGTGGATTTAGTTGTCAATTATGGACAGCCGCACAACTACTTCATAAAGTTAGTTTACGATACAAACCTGCATTCTGTGTGTGATAAGTAAAATAATATAAAAATATGATGAATGTCTCGAATTCTGCTTCATAATTTCTATGTATATGTTATTGTCATTATGTCATTACAATATTATATCATTATTATATTATTATATGTTCCTATAAATATATATATATGATGTCCCAGAATAACCGTGACTTTATGCGCAAGTATCATCACACCTCGCACACTACTACAGGTGTCATAACTCAAGCAGTGCGCTTCCTAAGCAGTTCTCGTTCTTCATGTGCTAAATGAATGCGACCGATGATGAGCGCGTTTTTGATGGTAGATCAAAGTCACAGTCATTCTGGGACTCTGTATATTTTTTGAGATGTGTACAATAAAATGTTGCAAGTTTTTAAATTATGCAAGTACGTTTTATATGAATGTAAGTATTTTATTACATATCTATCATGGAAAATACTATAAGCCGAGAAAAATGGACATTAACTGAAATCATTGTAAGATTATTGTGCAAATAATAACGACGATATTTGTTGCGCGCGTGATATTTCAACGCGGTTTATTAGTTATTAATAGTATCGTGATTTGCAAATTTAATTTTGTGTATTGTTGTGGGCATTTTTTATTAAGTATGGGAAAAAGTTCATGGCGTTTTTTTAATGCCATCTAACGGGAAAAACGC